AGGATCGCTTGAGCCCAGGAGTTTGAGGTTGCTGTGAACTAGGCTGATGCCACGGCAGTCTAGCCAGGGCAACAGAGCCAGACTCTGTCTCAAAAAAAAAAAAAAGAAAGAAAAAAAGAAAGGAATGAAAAAAATCAAAATGAGAATAGTGGTTTCTTCTAAGTTGTGGGTTGATTGATGGGTTACTTTTTTATTAGATGTTTGTAAGATGGGCTCAAACTAGAGAGAAGAAGCTGTGTCCACACCTTCACTTGTAAGGTCAATAAAGTTCCTAACGTGTCTAGCCAGGGACACAGAATAGTAGCAGGGAAAGATGGCCACATAGAGTAGAAATGGCACAACGTCCCATGGCCCCAAAAGTCCCCAGAGGGCACATAGCCGCAGTGACTCTGTTTCATGAGTCTTGCTGGGTCAGAGAAGCCTGAATCCTTTCTGTGTCAAAAACCTCAGAATTCAGGAAGAACTTAAACACTCTGCACTTTATAAGAAATATTTCTGAGTATCCAGAAATTTTGAGCCAAATTTAGCCTGGGCAAGGCCACCTCCTTGTCAGGAAGGAAAGGCAAAACCGGGGCCCAGATCTCCGGACAGTGTCTCTGGCTCCAGCTTCTGACATCCAGAAAGCCTGTTTTTTCACATTCATATTTTTAAATTCTCCATGATGGGCTTTACTTTGTAGTAAGGGGGAAATAGATAAAGATAAATGTAGTATGTTCATACGACAGATATTATTCAGCTATGAAAAGATATGAAATCCTTATGCATGCTATAGCATGGATGAACCTTGAAAACCTGAAGCTGATTGAAAGAAGCCAGACACAAAGACCACCTATTGTACGATTTCATTTATGTGGAATGTCCAGAACAGGCAAATCCACGGAGATAGGAAGTAGATGAGTGGTTGCCAGGGGCTGGTAGGGGATAGGTAACTAGGGAGTGACAGCTAAAGGTTACAGGGTTCTTTTGAGAGGTAATGGAATGTTCTGGAATTAGATAATGGTGACTGTAGCACAACTCTGACTATGCTAAAAACCACTGAGTTGTACACTTTAAATGGCTGAATTGTATAGTATGTGTATTACGGCTCAGTAAAGCTGTTACCAAAAAATAGATTAAGATGCTTCTAAGCTAATATCTTTGTTTCTCTTTATTTCTGAAGGATCTTGAAGAAGAGTTAGACATGAAGGACAGAGTGATTAAAAAGCTACAAGATCAAGTCAGGACTCTAACCAAGACAATTGAGAAAGGTAAGAAAAATGATATTCACCTTCTTATTCTTTTGAGCTTTGAGCGAAGGTCAGCGCGCACTCACGTGTTTATTTTCTATCTGGCCAAGGCCTATGAAACCCAGAGGAATGATTCCCAACTTGTGGGTTTAGGACCTAGTGATGGGCTAACGAAAAGATCCTCTGAGGCAGGAGGACAGCTCACTACCCACCAGATGGCACGAGATATACTCATGTATTTGCAAGGGGATCCTATCATGAATGCTCTTAACCTCTTTCTCTATTAGCTCCTCCTTTTTAAATAACTGTAAACAAGTTTCAAAATAAAAGTCACCTTCTCTCCCTGTTACATATGTGATATCAGAGAGAACCCCAATTTCTATTAGAAGAGAAGAGTGGGGAAGTAAGAAGCCAGATACCCTGAACATGGGCTGCACTTCACACTTCAAAGCATTCCCACGAGCTCCTATGAAAAGGACCCTCAGCTTTTCTTTCCTCCTCCTACTGTGAGTCACTGAACTTCGCCTGTCTCATGCTCTCTTCGTACATTTCTCTCTTTGGTTCTCGGCCTTTATTGCTAAGGGCTGTACTTTCAACCATCTGTTCCTTTTTCTATATTCATTTCTTTGGAAAGCTCCTTTATTCTTGTTTATCCAACTCTCACCTCAAATTTGAAATGTCCAAAACCAAACTGAGGGTCTTCCCCCTTCAGTGATAAATGACAAATGGCAGTCTGCGCCCTGAGAGCAGGGACCGGGTCTGTCCTTCCCAGCCCCCACTGTGTCCCCACTGTTGGAATGAATGAATGAATCACCATTCTCCATTCTGGCTTGGCTTGCAGACTTCTAACCTCCAGAACTGTAAGATTAAAAATATCCATGGTTTTAAGCCACTAAATTTGTGATAATTTGTTACAGCAGCCATAGGAAACAAATAAAGCCCTCTTAGGATGGTGCAGCTTAGTACTTTGTACACCGAAACGTTGCGTGAGTCTTGCGTCTTTCACTGTAGCATCTGCATCTTGAAGACAGGGCAACATCTTGGATTTCTATCCTAGTCCCACCGTGCTGGTTATGCATCAGACACTCGTAAGGCTTTTCTCAAGGATAACTCAGCCTTTTTAGCAGCTGTGCACTCACTGATATATTCACAGACAGAACAGTTCTCCAGGATACAGTAAAGTTTTGATGTATCGGAAAGCCACGGAAGTTCATGTACAAACCAGCCAGCATGGGGTAGAAGGAGGCAGAGTAGTCTCATGAAACCTGTGAAAGTTGTTTTTGTGTATTTAGCTAACCATTTGCCTCTGTCTACAGCCAATGATGTACACGTGTCGCCAGGACCCAAGGAGTACCTTGGAATGCTGGAATACAAAAGAGAAGACGAGGCCAAGCTCATTCAGAACCTCATTCTTGGTAGTGAAACTGGGAACTCTGATTTGTGCTTTCTTTTTGAGAACTTGCACATCAGTTGATGCCAAAGACCTGGACAGGGCAGTCCCTTCTCTTTCCCCTCTTCCTCCATCACTTCTTCCCTAGCCCAGCGTTTCTCAGCCTCAGCACTACCGAGGGTCGCTCTTTGTTGGGGCAGAGGGGAGTGCGCTGTAGGATACTCAGCAGCATCCATGACTCCCACTCACTAGAAGCCAAGAGTGACCCCTAGTCATGACAATAGAAAATGTCTCCAGATATTACCAAATGTCCCCTGGGAGCCAAAATGGTCCCTCATTTGAGAACCATTGCCCTAACCATTCCCCAAGTCTAATCATAGGATCAGGGTGGAAGACATCTTCTCATCTTTGTGTCTCGCACGGGAGCTACAGTGGAAGCAATTGTGACTCTGTGCTCCATTTGACTTCTGCTGAGACATTTCTTTGCAGGCAACGTGGTGGGCCTCCCAGACGTACCGCGGCTACAGGAATGTCCCGGTGTGCATGCTCAGAAGCTAGTGTTTTAGGACCAATCTCATTACACTGTCTTCACCAGGACCTTCTGCGTGGTTTTCTAGGGGCAGGGAGACAATCTGCCTCCCTATCGGCTGGTCCTAAGATCTTCAGGCAGAAAGCCAACGCATAGCCTTACTTCCTCTTCTTCCAAGTGACCCCCTCGGATCACATGAGCACCCCTGCCCTTTCCTGTCCACCCTCACTGCTGCACAACTTTGGGGGCCTCGTCTTCATTCCTCTGTCTTAATGCAGCCATGGGGAGGTTCTTGTTTCCTTATCTTAGCTCGTTCCATAAAGTTTCTCCCTTCCCTTCATGCCCATGCTGTCTCTCCGCCCTTCTCTTCTACCCCAGGCCAGCCAGGCCTCTCTGCAGCACTGCTGTGCACCTGCTGGCCCTGCTCAAGGTAGCTGCAGGTGATTGTTGACCTTGTATTCCATCCTCACCAAAGAGACAGGGGGAGGGGTTCATTCCTTACACTGGGTGTCTGAAATCCAGGGGCTTCACACCAGGAAAAAGTACAAATATCTGTCTCTTATTCAGCCTTTTAAAAAAGAGAAAGAACTTGACAAATGAGAAGTATGGGGAGCAGGTGGCACCTGTGTATTTTTGCTAAGAAAGGACCCAGATCGAATTCCTCAAAGAGATAAAGGAATCCCTGTGCAGTCAGGCACAGCATCGAGTACAGAACAGCAAACTCCTGCCCCCTAGTTCGAGGCTCCTTAGCAGAAGAGCAGACCTATAGCTGTAACCCTCCTTGGCACCCTCTGCTGCAGACTTGAAGCCCCGCGGTGTGGTGGTGAACATGATCCCCGGGCTGCCAGCTCACATCCTGTTCATGTGCGTACGCTACGCCGACTCCCTCAATGACGCCGACATGCTGAAGTCCCTCATGAACAGCACCATTAATGGCATTAAGCAGGTGGTTAAGGTAGGGAACCACCTTTGACGTTGGCCCTTGGTATTATCTCTACTTTCGGAACACCTATGGAAATGATCAGGTGCCCATCCTGAGCCTCCTGTTGTTGATGGCCACAGGATTCTTCAAACCAGCTGTCAGGGAAAGACAGGTAGATGAAGATCGCCAACAGACCTCACAGCAGACTGCAACCTGGTTGAGACTACCCTCACCACTTCTGACCCCTTAGGGTATGAGATTACTGGCTGTGAGAGATAGATGTTCTATCAGTGTAACAGGCGTCAATGCTGAGAAATGGGAAGGAGTAAAAACTACTCATCTCTTCCTTTGCCAATTATATAATTCTCCCTCATAAAACCACATTATGTACTTTTATTCCCCATTCACAAATGAAAATGAGCTGTGTGTTAGGTTAGTTACTTAGTAAGGCTAAGTAAGCTATTATAGCTTTGAGATACCTATGACACCCCCAGTGCACTTTCCCCAATATACAGTGACTTAAAGAAGATAGAGGATTTTTCTTTGCTCCATAGCAGTTTCATAATGAGCCATCCAGGCTGGAAGGAGGCTCTGCTCCACAAGGTCATGCAGGGATCCAGGTTCCTTCCAATTTACTGCCTGCCATTCCCTAGGACATTGTCCTTATTGGAATGATTGGACAAATAGACAGCCAACAGTTTGCCACTGGGTGGAAGGGAACACACCATGGGACGTGGAGATACTCTGTGTGGATAGTGGGTATATCAGAAGTCACCAACTGAACTCTTTATGAACAATCTCTTCATAGTGTGACATGTGGACAGTAGTCAAAAATGACAATGACAAAGAACAGGGTTGTGTGAACACTAATAGTAAGATAAAGTTCATTGCTAATTTCCTTCCTAGCAGCAGCATAATCTTAAATCATTCTTAGCTTACTGATATTTTTTTTTCCTGGAAACACAGAAAGTGATAAATGAATAAATAACTGTAACTAAGCATTGAAGATTTTTTTCTAAGCAGACCTGGATCCTTGTTCACAGGGATAGTTGCTTTGTATAAAGGGCTGTCTAATAATGCTTGGCTTGTTCTGGAAGGTTGGGATAGCCAGTGTGGGTAAGTGCTTAATTCAGCACAAAGCTGGACTTCGTGCTGTTCTGGATGTAGAAATTCATTAGCCACAGAAAGTGAAGTTAGTACTAAACCTGCTTTCTCTCTCTCTAGGACCTGACCATCCAGTTTATAGTTATGTTAGAAACTCCAAGTTTCTGGGTATCATGACGTACTGATCCACATGGGAAGGGAGCAATAAAATATAGATCTACTATTTTTCATGCCCCTCCAAAAGAGTAGCAATGATATTGAAATATATTTGAAATTTTTAGTTGGGGGAGGGCCTACCTCACTTTTAGTAAAATATGTATCCTGGAAGAGTCATGAGGAATTAAATCCTATTTTAAATACTCTAGGAAAAAAGAAGAAGAAAAACAGTAGATTTATGAGAGGTCAGAGTAATTCTCCCCTCCCCTCCAAAAAGTCTGTAACAAGAATTCATTATTCATCTGGAGTCAGGAGTGGAAAATTAGCATTTGTTTGGTGCTGGGTGCTTTATAGTCTTCACAGGAGCCACCAGTGTAGTTTTGGAAGGAGATTCCATAAATTAATGTTTCCGCTGTCCTGTTTTCATAAATTGGGCTTTCTTAAGAGAACCAACCGGCATTGTGTTCCAGCCATAGGCACGTAGCATTTGCCTCATCTTGCTGCTCTGGAACGTTTACCTAAATATTTATAAACCAAAAGATGCATGGAATGAGGGGTGTAAACCCCTTTCTCACCAGCGTCTTCCGTCTCAGCTTCTCCGCAACTCCCTTCCTCTGCCTTTGTATGTGCCCAGGACCCACCCCGTGCCCACCTCCCGCGCACAGAACCTGGCAGCTCATTTGGCCCACTCGCCAGCCTCACAGCAATCTGCCTTCTACCCTGTCACTCTACAGAAAGATCACCAGTAGTTCCTCTTGCTAAAACCAGTGATATTTCTTTAATTTTTATTCTTCTTAAAGTAACTGAAGCATTAGCGCCACCTCCTTGACACCCTCTTCCCTTGTTTTTCAAATCCTAGGATTTTCCCCAGTTTTCCTCTCATCCCTCTGGTCACTGTAGAAGCCAGATTGCCTTCTTTACTTGTTCCTCCTCTTCCTGCCCCGTGAACAGAGGTGTCCTCCCCGCCTGTCCCTGATCTGAGCTCTTGTCTTGCCACCCTTTCCTGCAAGGGGTCCATCCTCCCGCCTTTCTCGCCTCTCTCGTGAGTTTCCTCAGCTGTCCTTCTTCCCCGTCGGCTCTCTGTCCTGAGCTTTGGAAGCACAGCCTACACCCGTCATTTGGGCACTTGGCCACCTGTTTAACTGCGTCCTCCCTTTGTTACATCTGTCTTCCCAGTCAGAATGAGAACTGTCGAGAGCAAGAACTGAGACTTTTATTTCTTGTGCATTCCTGCCGGGCCTGCTTCAAGCTTCACAATGAGTGACGTACCTGTGCAGAAACATGTTGCAGACCGTGACCTATCATATAAATATAAGCTCTTATAATTACACTGTAAATTATTCAAAGGCCTTAGTGCATTAAAAAAAATTAATTTTGGCCAAAAGCTACAAGTAAACGAAACAGGTAAGACGCTAAGAGGCATGGGTAATCATTGACTCCAATTCTGTCTTTTCTTATTTTTTCAAAGGAACATTTAGAAGACTTTGAGATGCTGTCCTTCTGGCTTTCCAACACCTGCCATTTCCTTAACTGCCTGAAGCAGTACAGTGGAGAAGAGGTACGCACGCTTGCCTGCTTTGTGTCCTGTGCTGACAGCAGTCTGCCACCTCCTCGTGAGCCAGAGCTCTCCAGAGGGGTTAGGGATTGGGACAGCCAGCTCCAGGCACGGCTTCCATTCCAACTGGCTTTCTGGCTTCCTCTTCACACAGGAGGCCAACGGCACAGTACCTACTGGATTCTTGGGTATATACCACAGGCAAGAGGCTTCTAGAAGAAGCTTAGACCTTGGGCATGGTACTGAGCCTCCTAGGTTTCCTTTACTTATAAATCAATAGGTAGATGAGGTGAATTTTGAGTTTCCTTCTGCTTGTGAAATTTTTAGTATTATGACTCTAAACTATAGCCGTTAGTTCAATATGCCTGTCTCTTCACAACTGCTCTCTCTACACAATTCTGAATGTTCCTCCATAATCTGTAAAAATTTCTCCTTTGCTGTTCTGACTCTGCTTCCAGGGGGCTGATGTCATAAAAGAGTTCTCCACCTTCAAGGACTCACTGAGAAAAATTTCATTGAACTAAAATGACAAAGTGACTTTTAGGGTTTTCGATGCTCTCCAAAATGATTGTACTGTTAATATTTTATAGTCCCGCCAGCAGTGTATGGAGTTTCAAGTGTCTTCTACCTTTACGAACACTTGATATTGACCAACACTTTTATTATTTACCAATCTCATGGGCATTAAATGACACCTTGTTAACTTAAGTTGCATTTATTTGATCACTAGTGAAGTCAAGCCTCATTTTGTGTGCCTTTTGGTCATTTGGATTTCTTTTTAAGTTGCCTAGTCACATTCTTTCTTCACTTTTCTTAGGGTTGATTTTTCTCTTATTGATTTGTAGGAGGTCATTACATATTATGGATGGATCTTCTAATTTCCTTTATGAAGTCCTTTGTCATACATAGTTTTTGAATTTCGATATGCTTAAATCTATCAATCTTGTTCTTTTATGATTTGTGTCTTCTTCGAGAAATTCTTCCCTATCCTGAGATCATGAAAATACTCTCTTACTTCTAAACTTTTATAGTTCATATTTAGAGTTCACAATTATGTTTTTACCTATCCAAAATTGATGTCATTATTTATTTATCTCAAATTGATGTGTGAGGCAATGATTTCACATCTTCTTCCATATGGATAGCTAGTTGTCCCAATGGAAAGAAGGTAAAATAAAATATAACAGTAATCTGACTACTACCATGGAACAAAAAGTAAGAATTAAGTAGAGAAAATCCAACCTCTGCCTAAAATGAACACCAAAACAGGGAGAGGCACAGGCTAGTCAATTGAAGACAAACTGGCGTCTATGAGACATTGATGGAAGAGTATATCATTCAGCACTATTTATTTTATGATCCTTTCTTTGCCCCCTTCAGCCATGTATAGAATGTTCCTTTCTCTGTCTGTTTTTTCAGTTGCCATATTTTTATTTCTAAAATTTCTCTGGTTCTTTTTCACCTCTGCCTTTTATCATAATATCCTATTCTTAATGTTTTCTTTTATCTCTTTAAACATGTTAAGCATACTGCATTAATGTGCTCAGGCTACTATAATAAAATACTGCAGACTGGGTGGCTTAAAAAACAGAGATTTATTTTCTCACAGTTCTGGAGGCTAGATGTCTGAGATCAGGGTGCCAGCATGATCGGTTCCTGGTGAGGGCTCTCTTCCTGGCTTGCTGACAGCTGTCTTCTCCCCATGTCCTCACAGGACCTTCCCTGGTGCATGGGGTGACAGGGGCAGGGATACGAGGGAAGGGCGGGGAGGATGGGAGAGAGAGTGGGCAAACGCTCTCTTGTGTCTCTTCCTATAAGGACACTAATCCTTTCGGATCAGAGGCCCACCCTTATACCCATGTAACCTTAATTAGTTCCTTAGAGATCCCATCTCCAAATGCAGACACACTGGGAAGTTGGGGCTTCAACATATGAATTTTAGGAGAGCACACACATTCAGTCCATAGCATGGATTTTAAAATATTTCAGATTGGTCTATACCCTATCATTATAAGGTTATGAATCTCATTTATTACATCTACTTATTTCTCATAGCAGTTTGTTTCCTTGGGTGCTCTGCAGAATTTTTCTATGAGCTTCCGTGGGAGTTGTTCTCCACGTAGTCTATAGGTTCTGGGGACAATGTCTGTAGGGGAGTGGACAGTGTAGTGACAGTTTGATGACCGAGATTGTACAGGAAATCAGTGCTATTTTTTCTTATAGAAAGTAATGCTACCCCAAACATCAAGACCTCATTTGATATAAATCGGACATTAAGGTTTAAGGTATAACAATGACAGTATTCATAGAAGCTGATTATAATATTATTT